GGCGGAGATCATATTTTAATTTACGTCAGTTTTTTTTTCTTTAGTTTCATTGAATACGGCATCCATATCTTCGTTCTCTAAGCCGATTCCTTTTTTTTTTCCTCCAACTAGATCACGTCATTGCCTGTAGGCCCTTTCTCCTCTTCTCGCTCTGCCTTGGCTTCGAGAAATTCAAATGTTATATCCGCATTCATCTATAAAAACAGAATTTATTTTTTTTTTGCCCATAAACCAATTGGCATAAGCTTATCGTTTCTCGATGACATCAGGTCTTTTTTTTTTTGCTGGGAGTGGTCTGCTTAGTTTCACACTAAAAAGTCTAAAAAGCATTCCGTCTAAGGTCCTTGCCACAGTACGGTCGTGGATTTGTGGTTTGGCGGGAAGACGTTGCCGTATTTTTTTTTTTATCTGGGCCAGCGTTAGTTGACAATTCTCATTTACAATGTCATTTAGAATGTCCCTCATCTGGGTTATCGACCCGGACATTATTTCGGCCTCCCCTTGGTCTCTCTGCAATTTTTTTTTTTCGTACAAATCTGGCAACGATACTTCTGGCTGTTGATCGATTTACACCGATTGTTTTTTTTTCCATGAGATAATCTTCATTAGTGTGTTCAAATGCTTGAATAATCCTTTCGCGTTGCTCCAGGATGATGCGATTTCTACGAGGCATTTTGGCTGTTTCTGGAGCGACAGAGAAATTTTTTTTTCGAAAACTTGCTTTTATACCGCAATTTCATGCCGAATCTTGAACAATCTTTTTTTTTTTTTGCTATTTTTTGATCCATGAACATACAAAAATACAAAAGTAGTATTGAATTTTTTTTTTTTTCTATTGTATTTTGAATCGCTCAAATGATTGTTAAAACGCACTAAAGAATGTATTTTTTTTTGACTATGATTGTCCAAACGCGCTATAGATTGCCTATGTTTATGCTAATAACATTTTTTTTTAAGTTTCATTTTTGGTTGAATGATTGTCAATAAATGCAACCGTTTGTAAATTTTTTTTTTTGAATTTTCATTGCGCGCACATGAAACAACGTTCCACCCAAATGATTGTCCAGTCGTTCAATTGATTGTCTATTGATACTGTTGAATGCTCGCGCGTATTTGAATATCGCTATTTTTTTTTTTTTCGCGCCAATGACGTTGCTTACGGTGTTCAAGAAAGTACAATAAAAGTTATTGAAGCATCGCTTGGCACAAATGAGTGTACGTTTTACGCTAATGAACAGCAAAAGGTGTAATTTTTTTTTGTGCGCACTCATTTTTTTCTTTCTCTCAAGCAATAGTTGGGCAGCCTATGGATTTTTTTTTAAACCGTCACCTCATCTATTATATACGCTTTACGTAACCTGGACACCGTGCGTTTTTTTTTGTGGATCTTGCTATATATACACCTAATTGAAGAAACGTTGTCGTGTCCAAAATTTTTTTTTCATAGAAGCTAAGACCGAAAGGGTACTTGGGAAGACAAACAATTTGTCTAATTTTTTTTTTAATAGCTCTCCAGCATAAAAGACTATCATGCTGTTAATCTTACTAGCTCTACTTTTTTTTTGGTGCACTTGTACACCGTATATACAAATGTAATCCCAATTTAGTGGTACTCATTTTTTTTTTCGGTCTTAGATGTGACCTTTTCGAACACGACTAGTAACGTTTTTTCGATTATTTTTTTTTCTACTTGCAGAAACGTTGTCATAGAAAATAGAACATTCGTATTTAGTTAAAAGGAATAAATTAAAACAAGACAAAAGAAAGCGTTCAGCCTCAGTGATCTTCTTTTGTCTTTTTTTTTTTTTCCTTTTTTTACTAAATACAAAAGTCCTATTTTTTATGACAACGTTTTCGCAATTTTTTTTTTATAAAATAAAACCTCATTCAGCATATAAACTGACTATGATTTACTTTATTTTTTTTTTTTACATAGGACAGCTTTCTTCTTAGTCAGAAGACCTTTTCAAACTTTAAAAAGCTTTTTTTTTGCAATTATTATATATCTATTACCAAATTGATTGACAAAAAATAAATAATCTTTTTTTAAACATGTTTCTTACATGAAAAACTATGTATAGCATTCTTGGAATTATCAGGAAATTTTTTTTTTCTTTCTTGAAGTAGTTTTGAGCAAGGTGGATGATTCCCAATTTTTTTAACAATTTTTTTTTAAAAGTCAGTCAAAATAAGTCCTGACGGCAATTGAGCAGCCGCGGAGAAAATTTTTTTTTTGCCCAATTGCCGTCAGGACTTAATTTGACTGACTTTTTAATTTCATTTATTCTTTTTTTTTATAAAAAGGGCTATTTATCAGCATATGCAAGCATGGTTCAATTCTAAACTATTTCTTAGTGTAGTAATATGTGTGGCATTTATCGCATGTGCTTGGACAGTATTTGTTCATGATTTTTTTTTTTCCATAGGAACCTGACTTGCAGCCATTACTGACGTGCTTGAACTGTGCACATTTTTTTTTATGAACGTCAACACAAGCTATAACGAAAGGAAGAAAGAAAAACAGAAATGTTTTTTTTTTTGATAAGGTATCTGGTAAGATTAAATCGTGGTCTGAGGGTGAATATTTACATGTTTTTTTTTCTGTATTCGTGTCTTTAGCTTATTTTTCCCCATTATTCATTATAGGTCTGTTTTAACATAGCGATTTGCGTTGCTTGAGGAAAACTGGATAGCATTCATATTCTTATTAGCGCATTTGCAAAATTGGTATTTTCGCAGCCATTTTGTTTGTGATTCCTGTTCCTTGTAAACATGTTTTTTTTTCTGATAAAACATGATATAATAGCACTTGATGGGACTAGTACATATATATGTATTTTTTTTTATAAAGTTTTATAACGCCTAAACGATTGTAGATTTCAGTATTTTATTTATTTTTTTTTTTTCTCCAATTTCGAGTTTTTGTTTGCTCTGTCTTAGCCTCAAAACCAAATACATTTTTTTTTTTTTTATTGATAGCCCGAGAAAAAGGAATGGGATTTGAAAAGAAAAACAATAGTTTTTTTTTGAAATCTCGCCATTTTTTTTCTTACAATTAGGATATTTTGCGCAAAATTGACTTTTTTTT